ACAGATAGGGCTGGCTGTGTCTTTGGAAAGTCTTAATATTGACGTTTGTTGTCTATCCGAGACCCGTATTCAAGACTCTGGTGAAGTACTACAAATTTGCTCTCCATCTGTAACTTCAAAAAGCTTGTTCTACGTGCGTTTATCCGGGAACCATGTGGCATCTTCGCCTGGTCTTGCTGGCGTTGGTGTCGCACTAAGCGCTAGAGCTGAGGCAGCACTAATCGACTGGATCCCCACTAACAGTCGGTTGGTTATGTGCTGTTAGATTAGAAAGTACCATCAAAGTGAGAAGAAATCGGAGTGAGAAACGATGTCTTTTCGTCATCTCCGCCTATGCCCTGACAGATTGCAGCCCGGATGCAATCAAGGATGAATTCTATCAACAGTTAGCTGTTCTTCTCCAGAAAGTGAGTTCGACAGATATTGTAGTACTAGCCGGAGACTTGAATGCTCAGGTCGGGCGTCTAGGCACTGAAGAGAGTCTTTTAGGTGGCCAATGGGGACTTGTTGGTCGCAGGACAGATAACAGTGAACGTCTACTGCAACTATGCACAGACCACAACCTGTTTCTGGCTAGCACTAACTTTCGGCACAGTCATCGCCGATGTGCCACCTGGCGTCCCCCTTCTGCTTCTCAAGCCTGGACTCAGATTGATCACATCGCGATCAGCTACCGCTGGCGTGGTTGTGTACAAGACTGCCGCTCCTTTTCGAGTACTTATATGGAATCTGATCATGCCCTTGTCTGCGCCAATCTTACCTCACTTTTCAGTGGCCAACGAAGTGGCCGTCACCAAAGGATTGATATTAGCAAGCTGGTTGCAACTTCTGTTGCTAGTAAGTATCGAACCGAGCTAGCTTCTAGGCTAGCTACCATTCCACCGAAAAGTATAGATGAGCATTGGTTGCAATTGCATGACGACATCAAAATGGCGGGTAAAGTCTGTTGTGGGTTCACGAAACGTCCCGCTTATAAGCGCTGGGTTTCTTCAGGCTCCGTACAAATCATTGAAGCCCGTCGATCTACTCCGGGTGACCGTGAGTTTGACCACAAACGAAGGATGTTGCATACTGAAATTGGGCAAAGCTTGCGTAAGGACCGAGAAGCCTGGTAGTCAGAGCGTGCTAATGAGCTGGAAGCAGCAGCTGCATCTGGTTATTACCGGAAGCTCTTTCAACTCATCCGAGCCACTGGCAGCAAGAAGTCTGGTGTGAGCGAAACAATCTGCGAAGATGACGGGATGCCAATCACTAACATCCATCGACGTATTGGACGATGGGCAGAATTTTTCGAAGGGCAGTTCAACTGGCCTGCTGCCCCGGAAACATCGATCAGACTGTCCTGCCCCCCATGGCCGGTGACGACTGATCCACCAAATGAGGCGGAAGTCAGCAAGGAACTCCAACTCTTGAAGCGCTACAAATCACCGGGCACAGACGACTTACCTCCGGCTCTTTTTAAAGATGGTGGTGACTTTCTGACTAAGGGACTGACGACGTTATTTACAAAGGTCTGGGAACTAGAGATTGTACCAACGTCATGGAATGAGTCGATAGTTGTCCCTATCTTTAAAAAGGGTTCACGTCGTTCCTGTAAGAACTATCGGGGGATAAGTCTACTCCTGATTACGTCCAAGCGATTGGCTTCCGTCATACTTCGTAGGTTGTTCAATACCCGATAAAGATTGACTCGCGAGGAGCAGGCTGGGTTTCGTTCTGGTCGAGGATGAATTGATCATATCTTTACCCTCCGCCAAATGTTAGAAAACCGCCATACTTATCAAAGGCCAACAATCGTAGTGTTTCTTGATATCATGGCTGCCTTCGATTCGTTGGACAGAACTGTTCTCTGGGATTGTCTATTGAAGAAGGGTGTGCCTGAGAAGTTTATTAACATCCTGAAAGCATTATACCCAAACACCTCAGGCAGAGTGGGGGCATACAACCACCTTTCTCCATTATTCCATTCGAGCAGTGGGGTTAGGCAGGGTTGCCCAATCTCACCATTCCTCTTCAACTTTGCCATCAATGACATTCTGGAAACAGCTCTGATGGATGTAAGTAATGGTGGTGTGGATCTGTTGCCTGGAGCAGGACTTCTCGACCTTGAGTATGCGGATGATATTGTCTTACTGTGTGATAATGCACAAGCCATGCAATCTGCACTTAATCAGTCGGCAATCAGTGTCCGTAGGTATGGTATGTGCTTTGCACCTTCGAAGTGCAAAGTACTTCCACAAGACTGGCAGGATTCTAATCCTGTACTCACTCTGGATGGTGAGCAGATTGAAGTAGTCGAGAAGTTCGTGTATCTAGGTAGCTGCATAAGTGCTGGTGGTGGTGTGAGTGATGAGATCAATGCACGTATAGTGAAAGCCAGAGCGGCTTATGCCAATCTGGGCCACCTTTGGCGCCTTCATGATGTTGGTCTGGCTGTAAAAGGTCGGATCTACAACGCGTCGGTGAGAGCAGTTTTGCTCTATGCTTGTGAAACCTGGTCTCTCCGAGTTGAGGATGTTGGACGACTCTCTGTGTTTGATCATCGCTGTCTCCGAAGGATTGCTGACACCCAGCGGCAACAACATGTTAGTAATGCAGAGGTTCGGCATCGTGTGTTCGGTCACAGAGACAATCCAATTGATGTCACCATCTTGAAACACCGACTTCGGTTTCTTGGACATGTTCTACGAATGTCGTCTCGGAGAATTCCACGTCGTGCATTATTTGCCGACTCTGGGACTGGTTGGAAAAAGCGGAGAGGTGGTCAGTGTATAACATGGTTCCGTGGTATGAAAGAAAGCTGCAAAGGGTTGGCTTGTGTTGGTCTTTCACGACTGTCTGGCTGGGGTCCAAGGGATGGTGTAACACAGTGGCTAGAAACGTTATCAGATATGGCTCAGAACAGAAACCAGTGGCGATCCTGCTGTAACCTTTTACTTTATTCGTAAAAAGTGGTTGTATCTTCCTTAACTGAAAGATTTCTTCTGATTGTACCTTTTCGTTTCCCCCATTATTACAACTATTACACTACCTTACACTAATCTGATCGTTATTGTTCTTTTTTTTTATAATTCCCTACGTTCCTTACCTTTTTTCCCTTCTCTTTAAATTCTCATTGTTTTGTGTGGAGCATATATATTTGGTGCCCCCTTGTACCAATATTTATGTGTTCAAATAAATAAATAAATACTCAGATTATGTAGCTCGCATTTCGGGCGACACTTTACTATTGCTTTGAATATGTTCATCTCTATGACAGTTTAAAACGTCTATTCAGGACTAATCGGTACCAGTAATCAGTTCAGTAATGAGCAGTAAAGTATTCGAGTGTGTTAGTTACCTTAATAGTCTTAAATGACTTACAACCCACCTGCAACTCAGGCGAGTTTCTTATCTGTCAGTTAGGGGACAAGTATACTCTCCTATGATTTGACCTGAAATATGGCTCGAAAAGACAGGTGATATGCGTAAGTTCGTACAATTTAATAACGATTTTTTCTAGGTACCGATCATTAAGAAGCTACTTTTCCCAAATCTGGTTAACTAGACGTTGCGATTACTGAAACGCTTCTAAATGAAGTCTGAAATAGACAAGTAGCTATTTTCTCCATATGTTTATTCACAAACGAACGCTACAGTTAGCCCGAAAAGGAGAGTTGAACCGTAAGTAAATTCCTAATCTGAGGAGTAGTCATTAACTCTTTTCAGGGACTATTAATAACAATTTCATCACAATCTACCCACCTATTTGACTGTGACGCTTGATGTGTCAATAAAAAATCATAAATGCTAACCAATCTTGCAAATAAATACAGTAATAATAAAAAATTATTGCACACTTCCAATCCATTACAATCAAAGCAGGGCATTATTTATTTATTTAGTTTAACACATAGATATTGGCACAAGGAGGCACCAAATTCATATGCGCCACACAGATCTCATTTGATATGTGTGAGGGCTGTGATACTGCCCGGGTGCCCAGACCGAAGCAGGTGGTTTTCCTAGAGGGTCACACACCGAGCCTTCGACCTGAAGATCTGATCCACAAGGCAGTGGAGCATTGTAAGGAGATGCAGTCCCATGGTAGCCGATGACCAAAAATTGGTTCATACGTCATTTGTTCCCGCAGGATACTGGAGCCCATGTGCACCATTGGTTTTGGATTCGGTTAAAGCGCCGGACATTCGCTTTTTCTCCTCTCATTTTCGTAAACATCACCCCCGCCACGAGAAAGCAGTGAGTAGGACTTCCCTAGCAGAGGCTATATATGCGTGGCCTTGTGAGAGCATTTCGAGAAGGAGAGTGGACTCTCTCCACTCTCGGCCATACCAGAGCATTTGGGGGCAAATAGCATCCATTAAATGGCGGTTGTAGGTATTCGACATGAAACCCTGGACCCAGATTTCGTGCTACTTGGCACTCGTCAGCAAGATGTATCTGTAATCTTTGAGGGAACCGGTGCTCCCTGACGGATTCTATCCCGTGTCACCCAGCTTCATAGTCAGAGACGTTATCACCGAGCTATCCGGGAAACTTGGCAACGACATGCAGGTCCGGACACTGACCTATGTATGATTTTACGCATCTGCTAAAACCTAGTATATGGAGAATGGACTGAGCAATTCTTTAAAAACTTAAAAATGCCATCACTTTTAACCCAATAAACACTGTTTAACAGGATATATAACTTTGACTTAAGTGGTAGAAAGTGAATCACACTTGGATGTTTCGCATAACAGTGAAAGATTTAAAAAGTAATAATAAGTACACAAAGTGACCTTTTAAGGAGCTGGGAACCAACACTTGGGAAAATGTTGATTTTACGGTTGAAATAAACGGCTTGGGATATTGATGCAAATTTTTCAAAAAATGAACTCAATTAAAAGAACGGAACCAAGAAAAGTTAATGGTAAGAACAGAGCCTAAAAATAGTAATTTAAAATAAATGTCTGCTGACAAATACAATAAGCTGAAAATACGAAAATTTATAACCTCACCTGCATGTCTGCGTTCAACAAGGGGATGGCGTTCGTGAAACATGATTTTAGTATTTCTGTGCTTGCTTTTTTCACCTGCTGGATCCGAAGAAATAAAACATCCAGAAGGCTGTTGCCACGATAAAATTCTGCTCAGAATAGAAAACTGAATAAAATTTTCGTAGCCGAGACCTCCACACACAAACACTAGAAGTATAATTAAGTATATAAACCCCTCATTAATTTAAAATTTTGAAAGATTAAGTATAAGGAGCATTTGAAGTTTCCAGCCAAAACTTGTTTAAACATAATATCTCAACCATAATCATCTATAGTTTCCCACTAAAGCAGCAGTTACATGCAATTTATTAAATATATTTGCAAAAAATTTTGGTAAACAGAGTATCCTAAGATTGCGGACTATTTATATTAAAGTTATAGAAGGCAATTTACATGAAAATTTTTCCGCAGATGTGAAAGATTCGAATAACGTTTACTGACAGATCCACTTAATTTACTACCAAGAAATAGGTTTATTCATCCAAAAGGTGTACAACCCGAATGTGAAACGTATCTATTGAAGATGAAATCTTGAATAAGGGTTCATACGTTTTATGAGTTATTGCTTTTTACTTAAATATTGTACGACCATCGGGTTAGTTGTTCAAAAGTCAGAATACATGTTATTAGGAAATGAGAGTGAGTTGATTGACGCGTCCAAGAAGTGCAATTGAACTATATTTGCACGTCAACTGTGTCCAACCGCCAACCAATTTAGTATCAGTGTTTCGTGGGTAAAATTTCTATGGTCAAAATATTAACATCATTCTTAAATTCATACATGGCGTGGCCACCTGTGAGCTCTGTTTCTATATTGTTTGGGTTAACAGAGGACTGAAACTTCGATTGGCGCAGTTTGAAAGTAACGCTAGTAATACTGATGGTAACACTCCGTTCAATAAAAAATCTTAACTACGTATGAATTCTATCTTTCTTACGTTGTTTAACTTTTTCGTTTTCCTATTCTTACAATTTCTGTTCGACCTATATGTTAAAACCGTTTCCTCGAATGAACGTCTAGTTGATTTAATGAGACGAGAAATCTAGTTAACTGGATGAAGAAAGAATGAAAACACTATGTACAACATAGCTACTGTCTTTGATGAATTTTCATGGAGTGTATGGAATATGTTCAACCGATTAATGACTATTTTAAGTAATAAAATATATCCGTGGGTGAGTTACATGTATAAGAAATCCATAGATGTTGAGTAGCGGATTCAAACTTTTCTCTAGTTACCTTTGTTTATATAGTTGTGTAATAACTCTAAAACTACACTATAGTGTGAATCAACTGATTCATAAGTGGAAATAAAACACGGTGCTATGTTCAGATGGCTAACAAACCAAAACTACGTGCACTCAAAACTTTATTGAGATTACCATTAGTACAAACTACTTTCAGAAAACTTAGTAAGCAGTATCTTGATTTTTCTTCAAACTGGAAATAGAAAATTTTTTCTTTATATGTTAAAACGTTTACTTTTTTATCTTTATAAACTCTTTGGGAAACCATTGCAGAATATTATTTGTGGACAAGTAGTAAACTTAATATAAGTGTAAGGAATAGGATTCCTACTTGATAGGAAGTGTAACTACCCAAGATGATATCCATTTAGTGAACTCATATGGTGGTTACCTCTGACATAAACTAGAGCGTAGGCACTGGTTTAGAAATAGCGGGAATTAGAACGATTAACTTTGGTAAAAACATCAGTAAAATAGGTTTAAAAAACTATGCTTCAAAAACCACTTACAGGAAACCTACGAAAGAAATGTATATATCAGCCATAACCAGTGCCTCATGCTAAAAATTGTATGATGTATACACGCATTAAGAGACTCATTTTATTATTATTGTTTTTATTTTACTCAGGGCACACTCTGATTTTGAGAGCTATCTCGTCATTACCATGCTATAGGATCTATTTTGTAAAATCTATAACAGACAACATTTCAGAAAATTGCCCAAATTAAGTAGCAACGTCAGCACTTTTCTATTTCTCAAACATCATGATAAGGAGAGATCTTCAGGATTAAATGTCAAGATTGTAGAAATGATATAATTAGGTTTTACATAAAATCAGAGTCAAAAACGTACTTTTTTCAAGTAAAATATCTCGATTTTGAGGGGTCATTTCCACACGCAGAAACAATTTAACGAAATCTCTAAACAAAATTGAACACAGTTTATTTTGCAAGTCTTCCACGCTGGTCGAGAGATTTGATAGCATACCATCCAGGGAATCAATACAATAAACCTATTGATAAGATTATATAATGGGGAATTACTTGATGTGAAATTAGAATGTATAGAACTTGGTGAGCCAATTCATAACCACGAGAGTGAAAGTTCACGAGCTTCAGAATACATTTCATCGGAAGATGACAATCAAGAGTTCCATGATGGTTGGTATTTAGTAGCTGAATAATGCAATCATCACTAGAAATATTTTGCACGCTTGGTATGACTAATGAGTTCGGTGAAAAAGAATAAAGAATGTTCCGACTGGGAAAATTCCATTTCAGTGCCAAAAGTTTACCCATTTTCATGAAGTAGGGGTCTCTTGTCTTTTCAAAGAATTTCACACTTTTTCTAATGATCGCGTTTATCCTCAACAGTTGCATGTTAAGTTTCCTTGTCAGTGGTAACAATGCCAACTTGACCTCTTCATAGTTTTCATACAGAGATTCATCAGTAATACTTTCAATGGCTCCTGAAATTTTTATAAGAAGATTCCTTACCTTTTAAAGGTATTAGGCCAAATATACCATCAAAATTAAATTCGCTGCTGTGTTGTTCATAGTAATAAACAAGTTTATCCAACGACAACAACAGTCCTTCCAATTTTTCTGACATTGGACTGTACCCTGTCACTAGAGCCAAGACATATAGTGTGAAAATAAGTTTCAAGCTTGTTTTGTCCATCTTTAGATATAAAGATGTCTTATATGACTTCTAAATATGTATGAAATGATATTAAACGATAACGATGAAGCAAACAAGTGAAATCTAAGCCTCTAAAGTTTACTTCTACTGTTTCAATGAGTCAGTAAAAGCGACAAATCATAACTGCCTGACAACTCATATTTAATTGGCTGCTATTTACCTAGGTAAAATTAAAAGACATTAGTGCATTAAAACAAAGTACTTTATCTGTACCCTTCTATTTTTGATAAAAAAGATAAAAAGTCATCTATCCATTTGTTGTATTCGAGATTAGTGATGCGTTCGACACAATCTCCTTCTAAATATATTAACATAAGCAGGATGATGTTGTTTTTCAGACCCGAATTTAGGATGGTGCTTTGAAGACAATAGCCTGAGACGTTTACCTTAAGCTTCGTCCGGTATGCTAATGTGGGTGTCCGAATGATTCAACTGAAGTTTTGGACACCACTTTATCAAATATTGGGTTACTAGGGTTGATGGATCTGTAAGAAAATCTGTTGCCATGACAATTCTGTTCATTATTGGATTGCAAACTAGCCGGTTATAGTCTATGGGTTGTTCTTACTCCACTCATTGAATAAAAGGGGTAATACTAGGCCCAAGGTTATCCTCGGGTAAACTGTTCGTCAAAATCATGGTGCTCATTAATCTATTGTGGGTCAGCGTAAAGAGGCCTAAATTGTCATGCTGAACCCTATATGAAAAGTCTCGAATTTCCAGTACTGTTCAATTAGTTGTTCTCTGAACTCTTTTCGCCGTATCCAAGTCAAGTTTTAGGTGTGGACAAGCGGCATGTACGCAGTTCTTTAGTTTGTATCTTACTAGAGTCATGTACACCGTGGTGAATATGTTCGTGCCAGAATTGGTGAATATCTGCTTTGACAGCCATAAGATTCCAAGCCCCCTAACTTCACCCAGACGGTAGTGAAAAATAGTCATCAGGTATCGAATAACCATGACAATTAAATTGCCGTGAGTCAAGACGAATTGTGCTGATGTTTCTCCTATGATACGGCTAATGACATCAATATGTTCAGTATCCATGCAGATATGCTCAACCGTACCAGTACACATGTAGGGCGAGTGAATTGTCATGGCCCTTTCCGAATCGTCCGTCAGCCTGGTCAATGAATAGTGGAAGGTTTGCCGATTATCATTAAGGTCAAAACGACAGACGCGCATCAGTTAATCGCACGTCATGGACTGACCTATGTGGTTGTGGTCACACCATATTCCTTGCACTTACTCTTACTAATATTTGTAACGACGGTGTGTGTGTTTTACGCTCATCACAATAGTCACAGTGCCTGGACACGACGAAAGGTTAGTCCATTGTAGCGGTAAATAAATCCACAAAATAAATAACTCTGTAATTTTTCGACATTGGATGCTGACCACAGTTTTAGTAGACTCATCTAGCTGAGGACGCTTGGTCAAGCATCTGCACCAGATCACGTGTGGGAACGCCGTGCTCAACACCTACCGCAATCGTTTGCCAGATTAGTTCAAACGATCCTCGATATATTGATAACTTATCAAATAAATCTTCGATTTCCTCACTTCTGTTTTTGGATTTTACTTGGTGGGTGCGCTTCATGAATAAGTTTTTCTAGACTTCGCAGATGATCTGGCTCTTCTATCGCATACGCAACAACAAATGCAGGAGAAGACAACCAGTGTGGCTGCAGCTTCAGCAGCAATAGGTCTCAATATACACAAAGGGAAAAGCAAGATTCTTCGATACAACACAGCATGCACCAATCCAATCACAATTGACGGAGAAGCTTTGGAAGATGTAAAAACCTTTACATATTTGGGCAGTATCATTGATGAACACGATGGATCCGATGCAGATGTGAAGGCACGGATTGGCAAAGCAAGAGCAGCATATATACAACTGAAGAATATCTGGAACTCAAAACAATTGGCGACCAACACCAAAGTCAGAATTTTCAATACAAATGTGAAGACAGTTCTACTGTATGGCGCGGAAACCTGGAAAACTTCGAAATCCATCATCCAGAAGATACAAGTGTTTATTAACAGTTGTCTACGCAAAATACTTCGGATCCTCTGGCCGAATACTATTAGCAACAACCTACTGTGGGAGAGAACAAATCAGATCCCAGTGGAGGAAGAAATCAGGAAGAAGCGCTGGAAGTGGATAGGACACACATTGAGGAAAACACCGAACTGCGTCACAAGACAAGCCCTCATATAGAATCCTGAAGGCCGAAGGAGGAGAGGAAGACCAAAGAATGCATTACGCCGAGAAACGGAGATAGATATGAGGAGAATGAACAAGAATTGGATGGAACTAGAAAAGAAGGCCCAGGACAGAGTGGGTTGGAGAATGCTGGTCGGCGACCTATGCTCCATTGGGAGTAACAGGCGTAAGTAAGTAAGTAAGTAAGTAAGTAAGTAAGTAAGTAGGTAAGTAAGTAAGTAAGGGTGCGCTTCATACTAGAAGGTGTTACTGGTTAAAGCGTTGTCAATCTCCGAATACCTGTGACATCTTCACCACTTTGGGTAATAACCATGAGGTGCGACTTCGGCGTTAGCTGGTTGACGCGCTATTTCTCCTAAACTCAGATGGTCCTCGAATCTTTAGAAACAGATCACTTAGGTTGGTGCTCATAGGAAACTACTGACAGCTTGAGCTAACTTGGCACAAAGTTGAGGCTGGTTTGTAGACTTTATACATCACCAACCTCCATGTTTCCACTAATTGGAGTAATAGATCATTTGCGAACTGATGATGCCCTAAAGCTGCTTGTAAGATCTAATGGCTTCATTAGAACAAGGTCCTCCAGTACATGTCTGATAAACTTCTTTAAGGAGGTTACTCGTATACGTGACCAGAAGATTCTAGTGGTTATATTATATTTCGATATTAAGAAAGCCTTTTGTAAAGTACCTTATAAATCGTCTTCTCAACAGACTTAAGTCAGTTGGAATTATAAATCCCCTTTTGCAATGGATCAAGTCTCTTCTTATGAACAGATACCAAATGACCAAGATTAACACTACAACATCTACGCCTCGACCAATAACCAGTGGTGTTGTGCAGAGTAGTGTCTTGGGTCCCTTGGTCTTTATAATCTACATCAACGATATATGCAAGTGCTTTAGCACAAGTAAAACTCATCTCTATGCCAATGACCTAAAAGTCATCTATAAAACTCATATTTGCGATTTACGTAGTACTATGCAAACAATCCAACATGAACTCAACATGGTAGACAACTGTTGCAAACTCTGAAGGTTAAAGCTCAACACAGAGTTATGCGGCTGGTTATGTATAGGAGACACGTCTCTCAAAACAAAACTAACACTTAGCAACAACACACTGTCCAGACTGGCATCATTAACTGACCTAGGGGTACACTACTCACTCCGTCCTAATTTCTCTGAACACACCTCAGCCGAAGCATCTAAAATGCAGAAATTACTTGGCTTCATTCTTCGTAATTTCTATTGAAATGAATCTAAAATCCTTCTTTACAAAGTTTGTGTAAGACCTATCGTTGAATACTGCTCGTTCTTCTTTTCCAACCTACGCCTATCTGATATACTAAAGGTGAAAGGAGTACAACGAGACTTCACCCGCAAAATACTTAAGACTGAATCGGTCATTGACTACAGTTCCCGATGCAAAATCTTAGGAGTAGAACCCCTTTGGAAGAGCAGGCTTAGGTAAAGTTTGATTCTCTACTTCAAACTATTCAAAAACCTTACTTATTCAACATGTAAGATAGTTGTTGCCCGAGATTCACATGAATGCGAACCTCAAAACAAAGTATCTATGGTGAAAGTTGAGAAATACAGATCCAAAAACTCGGGAAAACTTCTTTCTCATCAAGTATGCAATAATATGGAACAGTCTTTCCTCCGAAATTCGCATGGCAGATGAATTACATACGTTTGTAAAACTGCTTGGTCAAGCCTTCACATGCACTGATCAGGCACGTACGAGCACATCTGCGTCTCACTCAGACATCATAGGCTCTCTCCATGTCTAGACCAAAATGGACTTTAAATTCAGTTCGCCTCATTTTTTCCATGCTTTGCAGTTGTATTAGTTACTTTTTCCACCCTATTTCTTCACTTGGAGTAGACAGGTACCTCACTGAATCTATCGATACTGTTTAACTAAACTCGGTCGCTAAGGGACACTCATTGCCACCCTAAAAAGTCAAGAGAACCGCACAATGGACTGCCTACTACCAGTCGACCTGCATCTATGGAGCCTGTTACCCCTTAACTGGTTAGAACAACACAAAATAACATCAGCTCCAAGTTAGTGTGAGTTTCTTCATTAGCTTTTTACTCTTCTGCACACTATGTTGACTAGCAATTAAAATTACTTCTCCACTCGTTACATTATCTACAACCCATATACTTCTTTACTATTCCTTCTACTTTAATAAACACCTATCCTACATTATACCTTTCTTAATGTTTATACTCTAATTGGCAAACTATACTTTACACTATCGGCAATTAAATCACTGCATCAATGCCTTACCCACAGTCCATAACCTGTAACTGCCTGATAAACTTGTGAAGTGGTACTTATAGAAATAGTGTTTTTCAACAGGATGTGAAACACCAAGGATTGTGTGAGGTATGACATATATTCAAAAATAAGCTTAATTGCGCCTAACACCACAAAAGGAGGGAGGGTGGTGTAACTGACCAGCAAGCATTGATGGTGAGGGCGATGACATCAATCCACCCGTCTTAGTGCGGCCGAACATTTTGTATGTATCAGGCTATTTATGATTGAGAATAAGTTAATCAATCTGTGATATAGATTGTCTTCCTACGCCCACCACTCAAACTCATGTTTCCAATTTTATGTTGGATTACCTATTCTACTAAGACAAATTACAACATGCTAACTCGGACTTTTACGCTAGGATTGTGTGACTGACATCAGATGGACAAAAAAAGAAAAAAATGACAATAAAAGATAGTTATTAGTATTCTTAACACTTCACCCTCAATAAGCACACTCCCTTCTAATAAACAACTTTCCTTGTGCCAACTTTGACTTCTCTTTCTTGATGTGAGCTTACTCCAACTTGTTAAACATTACAACTCATTGTTCTTTATTACTACATTCTTTTATATGGAGCCTCTGACTTCATTT